AAGTCCCTTATCCATACATCCTGGCCTGTGTGGTAGACACTTTTTTATTCCCAAGGGGCCAGTGTTGATGCTCTGATATATCTTACTCACAGACCCTTGGTGTCAGATAGTTGTCGGTCCTGCCGTAGTTAACTTTCAGGAGCCGTTGACATCACTAAACTTTTGTTCTCTCACCTCTACAAGGGATTGTGGCCTGAGGACTCACTGGGCTTTTGTTCATCATACAGGTAGTGACCATGACCATGTGGTTAATCAAAAGATCTGAGGTGCCCAATATTGGAAGTCCTTCCCCAACCTCAAATACTGCTCATGAAATGGAAAATTGGTTTCTGCTGGAGGCAGTCTTGTGTCTCCTCCTGCCACACTCACTGAAGCCTGGGTTTCCCAGTCTGAGCCACATCCCCCGACATGTCTGGTGATTCTTGTTGCTGTTTCATCTCTGTCGCACCTCCAGGGTGACAGTGGATCAGAATCATTTGCTTACCTGAATCAGTGGTCTGCTGTGTCGCCTGTTGACAATGGGAAGGTGTCATTTTCTCAGCAGACCTTGGGCTCATTAACCTGAGCTACCATCAGCTGCCTGCCATAAGAGATGCCTCTAGCTTGTGTGGACCTGGAACTGGAGGCAGAGCTGAAGCCCAAGATTGAGAAGCCTTCACCCAGGTCCTAGCCTGCACCCTCAACATGGACATCTTTTCTCCAACATTGCAAGAGGACAAATTCCTGTTTGTCAAACTATCGCCTTTTGGTATTTGTCTTAGAGCAGCACTAGGGAACCAAGACACCACTCTAGAGGCAGAGGCAGCCACAGAACCTCCTCTATCATTCATGTACGCTACCCTGAGCTTCAGCCCACAGTCTGCCTTTCCCTGCTGTGAGAGGGGAGCTGGGAGTTTCATGTCAATTATCTGGCTTGAAATCAACTTCATGTTTACTCTAAGTTCAATTTATGTTGACTTTTCTGTTTTACATTTCTTTTACCGTTTAGTCCAATATCAGTTTTAGACCTGGCATACAGAAAGGTCCCTTGTTTGAATCATTGTTAAGCATACCATCTGGTGTATTTATATGGCCTCTCAATGTTGGCAGCCATCAGAGCGTCTACTACCAGAGTAAGGCCATCAGCCCAGACAGAAACTTGGTAGTCAGGAAGCTCCCTCTCTCCCCTATTCCCCCTGTAGCCCCTGTATACGCATACTTCACTGTCTCTCTGGATTTATACACTCTGGATTTTTCATCTAAATAGAGTCATATAATACATGGATTTTACTGTCTGACATCTATCAGTTAGTCATTGATATGTTTAATAGTCATCGATACATTTGATAGTCATCAAGGTGGATCGTGTGTTGGTTGAAAATTGGTTTCAATGGGCGAGAGGTATCATAGGTGTGTTGCATTTGTTTGACTGATTTATTTCTGGACAGACATTTGGGAAGTTTTCTTCTTCTGGCTTATGTGGATGGTGCTGTGATGAGCATCTGTGCCCAAGCATTTGTCTGAGTGCTTGTGGTCATGACAATTGGCAGGGGTGGAAGGAAAAGTGAGCAGAGAATTCAAGTATAGGGAATGTGTGTTGGGTGGTATTAAGAAGCTGGAAATTGATGGGAGTTGAATAGTGGGGAGAGGGCTGGAGAACTCCCCGGTGTATGTAAAAGGAGTCAGGAGGGTCAGCAGGCAGCCCTGATGCCATGAGTTAGGAGGTAGAGAGAGAAAAGTGATCAGGGCCTGTCTAAAGAGAGAAAAGGTAGGAGAGTGAAGAACAACAAGGGGTGAATAATGACAGTCCCCAACAGCAACAACCTTTTATATGCCCCTGCAGAAATCTACATCTGAGACGCTATGCTGCTCTGGCAGGTTACAGTGGAGTGTCTGAGAGGCACTCGTTTACTTGTTCAGGGTGATAAAGTGGTGAAGAGGGAGGATCCAGGTATGAAGACATCTCTGTGTCTTGAAGCTGTGGACCTGGCTGAACCCAGGCCTTCTTTGGCTTCTGTGTAATAGGATAGATTTCTCTCACTGTGTCCAATTATGGACATAATGTTGGGAGAGCTGCGAATTTTGCAAACCAGAGGTATTTATGGAAGTTTTCTGTCAGGAAAGGGTGCAAGTCAGGGGACGCAGGCTATGATGTCAGTTCTTTGGCAGTGGAGACAAATAGAAGTTGGAGCACATGTCACCAAGTGAGTACATGCTACTGGCTCACTGCCTGGATCATTTCAGTGAAGGCACTTGATAAAGAACCATGTATATCTGTTGTGTAAGGAAATGGACAAGTTGGACTCTCAAGTTGGTTCAGAAGATGGCTCGGACCTCACCTCTAAAGGCTCTGGCCACCATCTGCTAGAAAGGAGTTGGAGGTAACACGGGGTGACCTAAGTCAAGTCTGAGACAGACAAGGCCACCACTCTGATCCCACCTAGGCAGCCTCATACCATTCCTCATGTCTTCGCGTTCCCAGGCTTTATCAGACCTTGGCTTCATGGAACACCAGATGAGGTGCCGGGAGGAAGGGAGAACAGAAGTGATGAGGCCAAATGTTATGAAGATGAGCAGAGTCAACGTGGGACTAACAGAGAGGATCAGAAAGCAGGATGTGATTTGATCCAGAAAGACTTGGTAAGGGTTGGAGCCAATGAAGATGATGGCAATGGTGCTGCCTACTAACTAGTAGTTGTTGAGGGCATTCCATGGCTCCATCATATGATGCCTCCCATCATTGGTTCATTCTGCTGGGTGTGAGTAAGAGTTTGCAACTGGCTGGAAATGGTTAATCAGATTGGGTGTTCTTTGGGCTGAGCAGCAGGGTGTGGACCAATAAGGATCTGGTTAAAGGCTCCAGTCCCCCCAACCTGGCACTATGGAATTAGACTTCCAGGAGTAAATGTAAAGTCAATTTACATATACATTTTCTGATTTAGTTAACACAGTATTATTGGTGCCACTCTAGTACAAGAAGTCATAAGGGATTTAGAACTTAAAGCATTTTCACTCGGTTTACAAAACATGAATGTTTCTCAAACCCATGTGTGAATTTAAAGCAATGTGCCATTCACTTCCTTTTAGCAAAATTATACTTTTTTAACCAATCAGAGCTAAAAAGTAGATTTACATATACTTATTTTATTATAGTGTTTGAAAAGAATCGTGATTTACATGGTTGGGAATGATACACATACTTTCTTTGATGGGGTAACAAAGTGTGGTTACCCCCACTCAGGTTCTTTCAAAACCATAGAACTTTGCAATATCTTGAAATATTCCTTCATTTTGACATGACAAACTTATTTGTACTTTGGTTTCAGTAGAAAACACAGTTGGATTCAGTTCACATAGATTATACATATATTTTTCAGTTGCACTTCCTATGGTGAACTAAAGACATCACATTTTTTTCTTAGATTTCAACAGAAACTTAAAATAAACGTTTAATAAAGTTAAATATACATTCTGTGATTGAGTTACCAAAGATTGTTGATGCCTCTCTGATACATGAAGATATAAGAGATTTAAAACTTACAGCATTCTCACTTGGTTTACAAAACCTGAATGTTTCTCAAATCTTTGTGTTAGTTGAATGCAATGTGCCATTGTTTTCTTTTTAGCTAAATTGTACTTTTTAACCAATTAATACTAAAATGTGTGTTTACACATTCTTGTTTTCTGATAGCTTTTTAACAGAATCGTGATTTACATGGCTGGGAATGATACACACACTTTATGTGATTGACTTAACAAAAAGTGTGGTTACTCCCATTCAGGTACTTTCAAACAGTAGAACTTTGCAATTTCTTGAAGTAATCCTTGATTTAGACATGACAAACTTATTTATACTTTGGTTACAGTAGAGAACAATGTGTGACTCCGTTCATGTAGATTAAACGCACATTTTCCAGTTATACTTGTTAAGGTCAACTGAAGGTATCATATTTTTTCTTAGTTTTCAACAGAAACTTAATACACACGTTTGACAATGTTACATATACAGTCTCTCATTGAGTTAACAAAGTATTATTGGTGCCTCTCTGATACACGAAGTCATAAGAGATTTAGACCTTACAGCATTTTCTCTTGGTTTACAAAACTTGAATGTTTCTCAAATCTTGGTGTCATTAGAACACAATGTGCAATTCACTTCCTTTTAGGCAAATTGTAGATTTTAACCATTCACTGCTAAAATGTAGTTTTACAAATACTTGTTTTCTTATAGTTTTTGAACAGAATCATGATTTACATGGTTGGGAATGATCCACATACGTTGTGTGATAGAGGTCACAAAGTGTGGTGACTCCCCTTCAGGTAAGTTCAAAACAGTAGAACTTTGCAATTTCTTGAAATAATACTTGATTTAGACGTGACAAACTTATTTATACTTTGTTTTCAGTATAAAGCAAAGTGTGACTCAGTTCAAATAGATTTAACGTACATATTCCAGTTACACTTGTTAAGTTGAAGTGAAGGTACCATATTTTTTCTTAGTTTTCAAGAGAAACTTAATACACACTTTTGACAAAGTCACATATACATTTTCTTCTTGAAAGGCGTAAATCTCTTATTACTTCATGTATCACACTGGCAGCAACCTTTTTTTAACTCAATCTGAGAATGTGTATGTAACTTTGTCAAACATGCATATTATTGTTTCTGTTGAAAACTTTGAAAAAATATGATGCCTTCAATTCACCTTAACAAATACAACTGTCATCTGCACGTTTAATCTACATGAAGTGAATCCCAGATTGCTGTCTACTGAAACCAAAGTATCAATAAGTGTGTCCTGTCTAAATCTAGGATTATTTCAAGAATTTGCAAAGTTGTACTGTTTTGATAGTACCTGAATGGGAGTAACCCCATTTTGTTAACTCAATCACAAAACGTTCGATCATTCCCAACCATATAAATCATGATACTGTTCAAAAACTATAATAACATGAGTATTCATAATCCTACATTTCAGCAGTGAATGGTTCAAAAGAACAATATATGTCAAAGAAAGGGTATCGCACTTTGCATTCAACTAATACAAATATTTGTGAAACATTCACGTTTTGTAAACCAAGTGAAAATTCTGTAAGGTGTAAATCTCTTACAACTTCGTGTATCACAGT